TTTTTCCCCCTTTATATTTTTCCCCCTTTATTTTCTTCTCCTGTTTCTGTCTGTCTACATAGGAATAGGGGTGTGTGTGTATGTGCTCTGGGGTGAGTCACCATGACTAGATGCTGGCGAGCAGGTGATGGAGCAACAGGAGAAACCTTTTCTTGTCACTGAGTGTTTGCCATTCCAGTAAATAGGATTTTTGGATTGTTAGATTGATAAGGGTTAGGAAAGAAAGCATTCCAGTGCCTTGATATTTGAATTCTAATCCTCACGGCATGATTCCTGCAAGCTCTAGGAGGTAAGGGGACTGGATCAGCCAGCGTGCTCCATGCTGAGTCTGTGCTCTGGGTTTTGCAGAATGGGATGGAAGGAGAGTAGAGGGAGTTGAAAATAAGGCAGAAAACTTTCATAAACAGTCAGTCAGGGCTCAGCAGGCTGTAGCAAGAAACAAGGATCCCCTTCAAACCAGCTGACTGACCCTTCCTCCTCACTTTCAAAATAAAAAACACAGAGGGGGGAAAAACCCTTCTCAGCCTTCATGTTCTGAGGTCCTGGTGCTGCTCATGTTCTACGACAGGAGCTCAGTGAGCCTTTGCTTCAGTGTTTGGAGGCTTCAGACTCCTGAGATCTGTTATTACTGTTATCATCATTATATTTTATTTCAATGAGTAAATTGTTTTTATCCCAACCCATGAGGTTTCTTACTTTTCCCCTTCCAATTCTTTCCCCTGTTCCCCGGATGGGGTGGGAGAGTGAGAGAGCGACTGTGTTTGGCTGCAGCCCAAGGAGTGAAACCACCAGAGCTGCCAAACCAAAAACTAATCTGGTCTGTTTTATCTGTCTCACTCTTTTCAGATCTTCCCCCTCCAGCAACAAGGGAGAGGCCCCCAGGGTGTAAGACAGTGTTTGTTGGAGGACTGCCAGAAAATGGAACAGAGCAGATCATCATGGAAGTGTTTGAGCAGTGTGGGGAGGTCATCGCTATTCGGAAGAGTAAGAAGAATTTCTGTCACATCCGCTTTGCTGAGGAGTTCATGGTGGACAAGGCGCTTTATCTTTCTGGTATGTGCATCTCAGAATTCTGGGACAGAGATCATAGAATCCCAGACTGGTTTGGTGGGAAGGGACCTTAAAGCTCATCCAGTCCCAACCCCCCTGCCAGCAGCAGGGACACCTTCCACTAGACCAGGTTCCTCAAAGCCTCCTCCAACTACGGGTGGGGAGCAGCCACAGCTTCTCTGGCCAACCTGGGACACTGGCTCACCACCCTCACACCAAACAATTTCTTCCTCACATCTCAGCTCCATCTCCCCTCTGCCAGAGATGTACTGGCTTCTTTATAGTTACACCAATGGGCTTTGTTGCTATTGGAAGATTTGTCTGCTCTTGTGTTGGTTCATGTCTACTTCTACTGCTATTGCTTTTCTGCTTGTTCCTTGGTTGAACAGACCCACCCCCACCTCTCTCCACCCTCCTCCAAGGGACTTGGACAGAGCCACAAGGTCTCCCCTCAGCCTCCTTTGCTCCAGGCTCAACACCCCCAGTTCCCTCAGCCACAAGGGAACTCAGCACACTTGTGCTCCAGACCTTTCCCCAGCTCCGTTCCCTTCTCTGGACACGCTCCAGCACCTCCATGTCCTTGGAGTCCATGACCTTCTTGGACTCAGGGACCCAACACTGAACCCAGTGGCCTCACCAGTGCCCAGTGCAGGGGGAAGAGAACTTCCCTGGTCCTACTGGTCACACTGGTGCTGATCCAGGCCAGGATGCCCTTGGCCTTCTTGGCCACCTGGGCTACTCTTCAGTAAACTCTTCTGTTCAGGAGCTTTCTGGCTCTGTAGGAATGAGAGACAAGCACTGTTGGGTGGTTGGGGCTTACAGTAGGTCACCTGTCCTCTCTGAACACTGCAGGCTATCGCATCAGGCTGGGCTCCAGCACTGACAAGAAGGACACTGGGCGCCTGCACGTGGATTTTGCTCAGGCTCGGGACGATCTGTATGAGTGGGAGTGCAAGCAGAGGATGCTGGCCAGGGAGGAACGCCACCGCCGGAGGCTGGAGGAGGAACGCTTCCGCCCGCCCTCCCCGCCTCCTGTTGTCCATTACTCTGACCACGAGTGCAGCGTTGTCGCTGAGAAACTGAAAGGTAAGTGGTTCTGTGGGCCACCCTTCTTCTATGCAGATGCTGGGACTGAGAACTGCAGTGATGGTGCCATCTAGATCTTGCAGAGCCCATTTGCACTGAGCCCTCAACCTGCACACAGCACCTCTCCCAGTGCACCTCACCTTTCTCTTCTTCAGAATTGTCTTTTTGTATAAACAAACCCATACTTGAGGACAACAGTTTGTTCCAAAACCTTTTTATTCATGTTAAATTACTAATGTGAGTCCTAAGACCTTCTTTGAAGCCCAAGGCCCGTGTGTGACCTGATTCTTTTGAAGCTGGAGGATATTTTCCTTCGTGAAAGAGTACATCTGAATAGACATATGAAGTTTTCCAGTAGGTTTCTAGCAGTTGGACCTCCTCTTGGTGCACCTAAACAGATGGTTTACTCCATCAGCTTGATGTTAAGACTAACCTTCCTTTGTACAGCCTTGTATTCAGGTAATACCATACTTTGAAGAATTATTGTTAGCCACCCAGAATGAGTTGACTGTTGAAAGAACAGTTCAGTAATGTCAGGGAAAGGATCTGAAAACCACTCAGGTGACTCTGTCCTTCTATGATGTAAAGGTTTCTGTTCTTGCTGCAGATGACACAAAGTTCTTGGAAGCCATACAGACCTTACTGACCTGGATAGAACGTGGAGAAGTGAACAGGAGAACTGCCAACAACTTCTACTCCATGATCCAGTCGGCCAACAGTCACGTTCGCAGGCTGGTGAACGAGAAAGCAGCTCATGAGAAAGAGATGGAAGAAGCTAAAGAGAAATTCAAACTTGCTCTCTCAGGGATTCTGGTTCAGTGTGAGTAGTGTTTCTGTGCTGAATGTTGGTTGTCTGTTGTTGTAGGGAAGAAACTTAATTTCTAGAGCCTGGAAAGGGCTTGAGGAGAAGAAGTAGCAATTGCTTCTGTGCAGCTACAGCTGATTTCTGAGCTTAGATCATTAACTCGATAAAAATTTCTTGTGGTACTTTGATTGGAGTAATAAGAGTCCACATCTGGGGAGAGGAGAGAATGAATTCTTAATTTATTTCTTTATTTTCCTCTTTTAATGGTGGTCTGTTAGTAGTTCTGTCATCTTTTCAACTCCACCTCTGTGCACAGACAAGGTAAGTTCCTGGTAATGTGGTGCCTCGGCGAAGTGTGCAGGATTTATTCGCCAAAGGTAGGATGCAGCAAAGTGTTCCCCACACTCACAGCTGAAAACCTGGTGCAAAACAGCATTTCAAACCTGGGTCTTTCAAATCCCAGTACTTTATTAAACAAGGAAGAGGCATCATGGGCTGTATTAATTCCAAGATGTCATTTATAACAGTTCCTCAAACCTTTCACTGCCTCTTACACATCCTTTCTTTAGCAAGGCTGAGGATTTTTTTTGGAGTCCCTTGGCTAGGTTATGAACATTCTTAATTCTTGGTTTTATATTCGATAATTTTGGCTGGTACTTGTTTGATACTTGATTTTTTTTAATTATTTAAAAAAAAAAATTCTGCTCATGGTAAAAAATATGAGCTCATGGTCCAAAGGGAAATACAGTAAGTACTGCAGAGTCAGTAGTAATAGGCAGTAGCACACAACTCCTCTCTATAAAACACCCACTGGTATCTCAGCTACTCTTGGGTTAATCTAAGTAGCAGAGATCTGATTTTATTTTGTAAGAATTACACCTACTGCAACATAATATGTGGAAAAATAAGAATAAAAATTAAAAAACCCAAACTAACAAAAAAAACAATGAGGTAGATGTGCTTTCTGCTGTCGGGTGGGTTCTCATCCCAGCAGAGGCACTTGGTATTTCCCAAAAACTCTGCAAATTTTCTAGAAAAGATATTTTTAGAAGGAATAAAACCTCAGGAATAAAAAATAGTTGGTGGCTGATGCCAGAATCCTGGTTCTGTAGTATCCACGGGTGGGATGTCGTCGTGCTCCGGCTGTTCTCTGGGACCACGCCTGCAGGACAGGGGAACATCCAAAGTGCCAGTTGTGCTTAATCATCCCATTTCAGAGAGCAAGTGGGACCCAGCTGTACTTGTTACACTCACAGGCAGCTGTGCTGCCTTTCTCCCAGTCCAGAGCAGATACTGGTTTTCCAGTTGATCATTACTCTGTGGAGTGTTTGAAAGTGGCCTGGTGAGGTCCCAGCTTTTCTTTCCAGGCACAGAATCCCTTTTCAGCACAGTACAAGTGTTTTAAGAAAAGGTTAGCCAAACCACCTACCTGATTCCACTTTTTTACTCCTTTACTCCTCTCGTGTTCGCTCTCTCTGGATGATATTCTGGCCTGATTTGATCCTACAGTCGAGCAGATAGTGGCCGTGTACCATTCTGCCTCCAAACAAAAAGCTTGGGACCATTTCACGAAAGCTCAGCGTAAGAACATCAGCGTGTGGTGCAAACAAGCAGAGGTTGGTAATTTAATTTTGTATTTTTTAATTGTGTTAGATCCTCCAGCACAGTTTCTTTCATGGCAGGATATTGATGTTAAGTTTGCACGATGCTCGCGTGGATAACAAACCCCTTAATTCACAGTGTGAGATGGGAGTTACTCAGTCGTCTCTTGCCTTACAGGTAATACATTTTTCTCTTGGTGTTTGTGTGCCTAGTGGCAATATATTGAGATCTTTATGCTGATTCAAGTTGTGCACCCTAATAATAATTATTATTATTATTATTGATCTGTTTTCTGCTGGTTTTGATGTTAAAACAAGAGGGATTTCTAGGGAGATGTTAAAAAACAACCAACCAACCAACCAAAACAACAAACCCAAAAGCATCATCAGAGACCTGTTTTATCCCATTTATCATCAGAAACCTGTTTTATCCCATTTTTATTGACAGAGTTGAGAGGTGGGAGATAACTGCAACTGGACAGTCTGGGAAACTTGAAGGAGAGTGTTCTTATATTTGTGTATTTATCCCACGTGGCGGCGTTGCCAGTGAAATCCAGGATTTAAAAGCAGTGACAAGGATGGGGCTTGATGGAAGAAGGCTTGTCATTTTTATGAGGGCAGGGGGTGACAGGACAAGGGGTGATGGCTTGAAAGTGTCAGAGGGGAGATGGAGATGAGATGTGAGGAAGAAATTGTTTGGTGTGAGGGTGGTGAGCCAGTGTCCCAGGTTGGGCAGAGAAGCTGTGGCTGCTCCTCCCTGGAAGTGTTCTCGGCCAGGTTGGATGAGGCTTTGAGCAACCTCTGACATCTGCTCCACCATGGACCTCCATGGGCTGCAGGGGGACAGCCTGCCTCACCATGGACCTCCATGGGCTGCAGGGGGACATCCTGCCTCACCATGGTCTTCACCACAAGTTCCAGGGGAATCTCTGCTCCGGTGCCTGGAACACCTCCTCTCCCTCCTTCTATGGACCTCCATGGGCTGCAGGGGGACAGCCTGCCTCACCATGATCTTCACCACGGGCTGCAGGGGAATCTCTGCTTCAGTGCTTGGAGCACCTCCCCTCCCTCCTTCTTCCCTGACCTTGGTGTCTGCAGAGCTGTTCCTCTCACATCTTCTCACTCCTCTCTCCAGCTGCAGTTGCAAAGGTGTTTTTTGGGTTTTTTTTTCCCCTTCTTAACCTCCCAGAGGTCCTTGCATGGTCACTGATGGGCTCAGCCCTGTCCAGCAGTGGGTTCTTCTTGGAACCAAGTTTTCTGTTTGGTTCTGTTAGGTTACTTCTCTTAGGAACTTTCATATGGGACATCTTTCATTGGATGGAGTTACTCAAAGCCCCTGTCCAACCTTGAACACTTCCAGGCATGGTGTATCCACAACTTCTGTGGGCAACCTGCTCCAGTATCTCACCACCTTCCTTGTAAATAATTTCTTCCTTGTGTCCAGTGGAAACCTCCCCTCTTGAAGTTTAAAGCCATCACCCCTTGTCCTGTCACTACAGACCATGGTCAAAAGTTTCTCTGTGTCTTGTGAACTACGTGAGAAAAACACAGAACCATGGGAAGAGGGACCTGAACCTCATGAGGTTCAACAAGGCCAAGTGCAAGGTCCTGTACCTGGATCAGGGCAACCTTCAGTATCAATACAGGTTGGGGATGATAGGATGGAGGACAGCCCTGCTGAGGAGGGCTTGGTAGTACTGGTGGGTGAAAAACTGGCCACCTTCCCACATAACTGAGAAGAATCTGTAGAGTTGGAGAACACCCAGCTAGTGGTAAAAAGCAGATGATCATGCTCCTGTTCTTTCCTGCTTACTGAGATGAGTGACTAGGACTGGGGTGGGAGCACTCTCTCCATTTGGAGCTGTCTCTTGTTCCAAGGTAAGTTCTCCCCGATGGGAAGAGGCTTTGAGACCACTGCTGAGGCTTCTTCCAGGAGGACTTGTTGCTGGGTTCAACCTGTTGGTCTCCCCCAGCTTAGGATCTTCTCTTAAAGGAAGGTGGACCCATAAGATGCATCTTGGTACAACTTTTGGCAGAATTGAATCCTCTGGGTCACCACATCAGAGGAAAACCTGGTGGGCAGCTCAGATCTGCCTTGCTCTTGCCCTTTCCCAGTTGATGTCCATTCATCCAGGCTGAAAACATGGTGTCCATTCATCTTGGCTGCTCTTAGTGGACGTGTGGTTGGTTCTGGCAAGCAGAGTTTTTCAAAATTTCAAGCCATTAGAGTAAAATCTACAAAGAGTTGGACATGAGAAGCCTGAAATCTTCTGTATCTTTTCTCCTGTGGCTGTTTCTGTATCACCCAAGTGAAGTTGTGTTCAGTTGGCATCAGGTAGGGACACCTGGCCACCTGTGCTAGCTTCTAGTAAGTATTCCTGACACCTCCATCTCCTTGGATGACCCACTGTTGTTTCTGAGTGTTGCTTGTCCTGCTCTGTAGAGGGATGAAGAGGCTGAGCTGGGGGTTTCCTTGCCTTGGAAATGCGTTTCCATCCAGGAGCAGAGGATGGAGCAGGGTATCTTGTCTGGAGGAGCTGGTGGGGTTGGCTGGCTCTGCCTGGGCAAGGTGAATGGAGCAGAAAGGAAGGAGCTGGGGTGGCTCAGGGGCCAGCGTAGGAGGTAACATCTTTGCTCCTTTCTGATCCCTGATGTGGACCAAGGCTGTGACAGAGAGCAGAGAAGATCCCCACAGCTGGAGGGAGAGTCATGGTCAGGGGGAGAAGGGAGAGAAGCACGGGGGGGGACACATCACCAGTGAAGAAGGTGCTGTCATAGGTGGATTATTAAGAGAAATCATCATTGTGGGATTAACTAACAGGGTTTTATTGATGATTAAGTGATGATCAAATGAGAACTGGTCAATGACTGAATGATCATTAAACAGTAATCAAATGGTGAATATCAGTGATATCAGAATATGCAAATGAGTGCTGCCCAGTGCAGCTGCTCAGCACCCGCTGGCCGATGCCCAGCCTGTCCCAGCCAGCGACCCCGGAGCAGAGACAGATCTCCTCTCCCATTGGCAGAGCCAAATGCCAATTAGGGGGTTGCTAATTACTGTGCTTCCCCCCTCCCAGTCCTTTGCACTTGCAGACTGGCAAAACAGGGGGACCTTGGACTTCCAGCAGCGACTGAAAACATCAGCACCTGCTCAACATTCTTCTCCTAACAAATCCCAACTGAACCTAAACCACAGCTCTTCTGGCTGCTGAGAGAAAATTAACCCTGTCCTAGTGGAACCAGGACAGCAGGGCAGGTGTGGGGAGGGGGCTCACCAGGAAACTTCACTGGTCCAAACTAAACCATGGCTCAGTGCCTGCCTTGCGGCAAGGAGCAGAAGGGAGATGGTTGAGTCAGTAATACCAGTAGCGTTGACAGGTTGATTCACACTTGATACTGTCCTTGATCTAATAGTCTGTGCCAAATTGTTGGGGTTTTTTGGGGGGTTTTGGGGATTTTTTTATCATTTCTTTTCTTGTATCATGGAGTTGCATTATGCAGACTTAGATTTCGGCATCTTTTTATCCAGCCCCATCTGTTCCTTGTTACCTGTATTTAAAAAACCCCCCTCTACCTTCTGAACCTTAGGAAATTCGTAACATTCATAATGATGAACTCATGGGTATTCGAAGAGAGGAGGAAATGGAAATGTCTGATGAAGAAATAGAAGATCCACCAGAGATGAAAGAAACAGAAGAATCAGGTAAAATCTCCTCTCAGTCTCCTCCAGGCTGAACAAACCAAGTGACTTCAGCTTCTCCTCATATGGCTTCTCCTCCAAACCCTTCCCCAATGTTGTGTCCCTCCTCTGGACACTCTCCAGCAGCTTTAGATCCTGTTTCTCCTGGACACGGGTGAATATTAGTCCACCCTTTTGAAATATGTAGATGTGCAGAGTGGGGTCCAACACATCTTCACTGACTGGGAAAAATGAGTGGGGGCAATTAGGTGAAGCTCACTCCAAATCCACTCTCACCCATGCAGCATCTCTTCTGTCCTCCCTGTCCTCTGAGTACAGTGTGTGGGTCCCAGGCAAACAAACCTCCACGTGCTGTGGCCATGGCCCAAGTCCCAGAGGTTAATAGCAAGGCTGTGAGATGTCAGGGTATGTCCTACACATCGTGGGTATGGTTTGAAACCTGCTCAAGCTGTCTTTGCAGCCATAACGTTTATAGAAACCCTCTCCTGAATTTATCAAGCCCTGTGTGGACACCAGAGTGATGCAGGTGTTTCATGTCATGACTGGATGGAGATGTTCTCCTGGCTGAAGGTGCCAGTGGAACCTGTCCCAGAGTTTTTAAGCTTCGCTGGTTAGGAAACTTGCTTCCTTTCCAGCTTGGTCATTTCACCCCAACCTATTCTTTCACTTCTTTTTGGTTTTTTTCCTTCCAACTTGTATCCTGCATTCACCACTGAGAGATGCTCTTTCTCCAGAGTTGCTTGTTTTCTAAATAGGTGTTGGAAAAAGTAGTTGGGAGATATTCTTTTTGGTACTCTGGGTTTGTAACTGGGCAGTGGGAGCTACAGAACCACTGTGAGCTGGGGGGAAAGCACCCAGGGACTTCTTGCCCCAAGTTCTTTGAACTTTTGATCCCTCCCTACCTTGTTCTCCAGCGCTGGTATCACAAGTGGAAGCTCTGAAAGAAGAAAATGACAGTCTGCGCTGGCAGCTGGATGCCTACAGGAACGAGGTGGAGCTGCTAAAGCAGGAGCAAGGCAAAGCAAGCAGGGATGAAGACACAACCAAGGAGCAGCAGATGAAGCTTCTCCAGCAGGCTCTGCAAGGGATGCAGAAGGTGGGCCTGGACTTTTCTATAGCTACAACCTTTGCTACAAAGGTAGAGGGGCTGTGATGTGGAGCAGAAACACAAACAAAAACATTTTGGTTTTCAGTGGGATCAAAACTTTCTGTCATTTCCAGTGTCACCAAAAAAAGCCCAACCAAATGTTCAGAGCTGATAAGTCACATGGAAACAATCTGTAGCTTATGGATTCCTTGTGTGCTCTTTGCTTGACCACACTGTGACTTCTGAAATGCTGAGTCTGTGCTTAACCTGCTCCCTAACTGTGTGAGATCCTGGTTACCAGCGTGAGCAAGACAGCGGGCAATCCCAAGCTTGCTTTTTGACATATTTTCTGAACTTTACTGGGCTTTTATTCTCATGGAAATGAGTAGGGCATGGCTTTTTCTTTGGGATTTCCCTGGGCTGAATCTCCAGTGGTTTGGGTCCTCACAAACCCTTGGGATATGAAGGCAGACTGATAACCAAGCGTATTATAGAGCATATACTAGTTCAGGTAAACCCTTTGTTAAGGTACGAACCTTCAGCAATGCTGTGGTCCTTCTTTGGATGAACCTGGCCTGGCCTCAAGTTGCACCAGGGGAGGTTTAGATTGGATATGACAAAAAACTTCTGTACTGAAAAGAGTGGTCAGATATTGGAACAGGCTGCCCAGGGAAGTGGTGGAGTCACCAGCCCTGGAGGTGTTCAGAAAACATGTAGACATGGCACTTCAGGACATGGTTTAGTGGTGTTGGACTTGATCTTAAAGGTCTTTGTGAAGACCTTTATATACTTAGCAGGAGGTAAAAGGCAGGTTAAGAACTGAGTTTATCTTTTCTCTTCCAGCATCTTTTGAAAGTACAGGAGGAATACAAAAAGAGAGAAGCTGAGCTAGAAAAAGTGAGAGAAGAAAAACTGAAAATAGAAACGTTATTAGAAAACCTTAAGGAGCAGGTATGTGCTGTCCCACTGCTTCTTTATTCTCAGCAGTAAACACAGTTCTTGGATTTCATGGTCCATCATAAGTGCAGTGAAGGACAGGAGATGCCTAGCCTTGGCTTAGGAGCAGTTGTCTTTGGAAAGCTAAAAAAAATTAGCTGCCAAATTGGAGGATGTATATCAATAATGAACTTGCTGATTGCTTCATGGACCAGTGAGATAATCTACATGAGTATAAATAAAAGATTAAACTTTCATTTTACAGTATACAATGGTATTGCAGCTGAAACATGTTTTTCTTCAACCTGAAATATGTTTTTCTTCAACCTGAGCTTTAAAAGATTAAAAAAAAAAAGGTGTTTTGATTATCAAACATTGATTTTTAGATTTGTCTTTTAGGGCTGGGTTTTGATCTGACCTCCATAAAACACTATTTTTTTTTTCAGTGTTATGATATTCATATGCTTGGTGGATTTATTCTAAACATCAAGACATACTGCTGCTGCTCAGGTGTGATCCACTCTGTCTTTTGCTTTTGCATCTACAACTTGCTTGGTCCTCTCCTCTATAGCACAGATACAAATCTACAGGATAGACAGGAAATTACACAGCACTTCTCAGTGGGGACTGTAGAGCCAAATCTTTGGTCTTATCACAGATTTTTAATCTTTAGCTCCACTTTTTTGTGCCATGAAGTAGGGAAGATGATAAACATCTTTCTAGTAACTACAAATGGCTTTGTGTCTTGGTAATCTTCAGTGCCTGATATCAAAGAACAAAAATAATAGATAATAAAATAAGTAATCTTTATTTTTCTTTGTTCATATACAGCAGAATATAGCAGATGAAGAGGACAAGGAGAGAGACACAAATGATTGTCAAGGGAATGTAAGTCTAAGAGGTTTTTTTCCTGCTGCTTTAGTCACAGTATCTTACAGAGGGAATTAATGATGCCTCATTAGAAAATGAGCAATTTTTTCAAGTCTGATTTATTGTGAATGTCTAAGTGTGGTACATACAGATTAAAAATCATCGTTACCCGTTCCTAGCAGCTTCTGGCTGGATGGACAAGTAGGTAATTGCAACACTGCGGTGTAGAAATGGGTTTTGATGTGCCAGAGAATTTGTTGGGCTGTCATTTGAACTCACCTTCGACAGGATCTGTTGGATCCCTGAGAGGAAGCAGTTGGTGTGTTTCCATCATAACGCTGCTGGCTGAACTGGGATCCCTGTGTCAGCCTGAAGTTTACTCCGTTTCCACGGTGTAAATCTTTACTTTCTCCTGCAGAAGCAAATTATAACCTGCTCAGGCCAGGGCTGCACAGTCCTGTGTAGCTGAGGGTTGCACTGGCATAAGAAGCTGAGCAAACCCAAGGGACTTTAATTCTGTCCTTGTTACTGGCCCAAGTCCAGTCCATTTCACTGGTGACTGGAGGCTGTTTCCATTTATAGCTGTCTGTAGCTCTCAGACCACTGGAATTCCACATCAAACTTAGGAATAAAAGGAAGTCCTGCTTTTAATGCATCCACTGAGTCTTTGCATCACTGGCAGCCTTGTGTTTATTTTGAGGGATAATAAATTATGTAAAATTCTTTTTAAAGTCCCTACCACAAACTCAAGTCAAGGACAGTCTGATCCTAAACCCTGTGCAGCCATTGGGTGCTGGATTAAACCTATTGCCTCAATTCAAGCCTCTGAAAAATAAACATCTGCCTCTGAATTAGTCACTGCAAGGCTTTTTCTGGTCTGTTTGCCCTTCTGTTGTTTAAAATAAGGCCCCTTTTTAGGGCAAACAGGGCTGATAAAAGTTTCTGTTGGGGCATCTTGCTGAACTTCATGGGTTTTTAATCTGGTTTGATAATTCAGACGCAGGGGCGTGGACTTTGGTGGAAGCATTTTGCAAAATAAACAGTAGATCAATGACTCACAGGACCAGGAAAACAAAAATACAGACTCTGGTGAGTCTGATGAGCTGCTGTTTGATGTGTAGGAGTGTCTGCTGTGCTGCTGGTGTGTGGAACAATCCCTCTGGGTTGTTTTTTTTCCAGGAGAGCAGTGCAGGCAGAGTTTGTGCGTGCAGCCAGGAGAAGGAATGTCCAGTTGAGAAGACATTGAGCAATAGTCCTGTGAAATCTGAACGAGAAGTTCTCTTAGTTGGTAAGTTCTTTGAAAGTTCTTTTGAAGTTGGTGAGTTCTTGGTGATGATGCTGGAGACCTGAATTGAGTGGAGGTTACTTCAAGGTGGCCTCACAACTCCCTCTGGCCACCTCTTGGTTCCTTTGGTTATGTCAATGGAGGTGGGAGTCCTGGAACCAAGGAAAGGCTCAAGCTTTGGTGGGGTCAGGGTTTCACCTTGGGCATTGCTCACCTTTTGGTCAACACCACAGACATGTAAAGTGGATTTGGTGTGAGTGAAAGTCCAGGTCAGCATGTACTGGGATGCTGGTTGCTCTTCTGGGAGGCATCAGGGAGAGGGTCTGTCTTCATTCCCTTAGAGCCTGATGAGGATGATGCGAGGGCTGGAGCAGCTCTGCTGTGAGGACAGGCTGAGAGAGTTGGGGCTGGAGAAGAGAAGGCTCCAGGGAGACCTTCTAGTGGCCTCCCAGTACCTGAAGGGGCTCCAGGAAGGTGGGGAGGGACTTTGGCCAAGGGCAGGGAGTGACAGAACAAGGGGTGATGGCTTGAAAGTGGCAGAGGGGAGATGGAGCTGAGATGTGAGGAAGAAATTGTTTGGTGTGAGGGTGGTGAGCCAGTGCCCCAGGTTGGCCAGAGAAGCTGTGGCTGCTCCTCCCTGGAAGTGTTTGTGGCCAGGCTGGATGAGGCTTTGAGCAACCTGGTCTAGTGGAAGGTGTCCCTGCTGCTGGGACACTGGGTAGCTGTGGATTTTCTGGAGCATTGAAAAGAAGGAATGGGAATCCTTGTCTTGATGGGACAAGTAGTTCATTGTCACTCAGCTGAGTTCTCTTTAGCCATCCCTTCTACATCTGATTTGAGAGTAACAGTAAATCCTTAGATTGGATCCCTCTGTGCTGGGGCAGTTGTAAGAGAGCTGGTGTTCTCAGCTGGTGTTCTCAGCTGGCTCTTATCTCCTGAGAATAATATTTGTGGTGTTCCTTTCTCCAGGAATAATTTCAACGTTTCTTCATGTGCATCCGTTTGGAGCAAGCATAGAGTACATCTGTTCCTACCTGCAACGTCTGGACAGCAAAGTAGGTGAACCAACACTTCCAGTTCCTGAGCCAGCCTGGGCTGGGCTGTGTTTAATGTCCTGGGTATGTTTGGTTTGTGTGGCTGGTTAAGAGCTTCACTCATTCCCTGGGAATGGTGCTGGGGTTGGACGGTAAGAACTGCTGTGGGGTAACTGGAATAATTTGCTGGAAGAGTAGCTGAGGGAACTGGGGTTGTTGAACCTGGAGAAAAGGAGGCTGAGGGGAGACCTTCTGGCTCTGTCCAAGTCCCTTGGAGGAGGGTGGGGAGAGGTGGGGGTGGGTCTGTTCAACCAAGGCCCAAGGGACAGGACAAGAGGAAATGGGCTCCAGTTGTGGCCAGGGCAGTTGAGATGGGATGTGAGGAAGAATTTCTTTGCTGAAAGGGTTCTGAGGCATTGGAAGGGGTTGCCCAGGGCAGTGGTGGAGTCCCCATCCCTGGAGGGATTGAAGAGTCGTGTAGACACAGTGCTGAGGGACATGGGTTAGTCATAGGGGACTGGTCAGTGTTGGGTTCATGGTTGGACTCGATGAGCTTCAAGGGCTTTTCCAATCCAGGCCATGCTGGGATTCTGTGAAGAGGACAAAGGAAAGATTGAACTTCCTCAGAGTCAGAGAATGGTTTGTGTTGGGAGGGACCTTTAAAGATCATCTTGACCACCCCCTTGCCATGGACAGGGACTTCTTTGACTGGCTCACGTTGCTCAAAGCAACCCAGCTTCTGGCTTAGCCCTTACACAGCTGGTCGTGAACCGAAATGCAGTTGAAGGTGATGTTCTCACTGCAGATCTTTCATGTGTAAAACCCTTTGACAGCAGCTGCATTTTGCAGCCCTGAATCCCATCTTTAAAACCTCCATCTGAAATGGATTTTTGTTTATTCTCTTTCGGTTTGCTGCCTTTGTTTCCCTCAACCTTCTGACTTGTAAGGAGAAGAGCGAACCACCCGCCTCTCGCAGGCTGTTTATGATGACCTCTGCGTGCCACTGTTTGTATATATTCTCTCCAAACTAAACAGTCATCTTGGTTTTGTGGCTCTGAGCAAAGTTTTTCTGTGTTTCTGCTCTCGTGGCCCTTCACTCAGCTTTTCTGTCCCTGTTTTGATCCTGTCAGTGAAGTCAGGAGGGTGCTGTGCAAGGACAAGAACGTCAGCACTGAATCACAATCTCCACTCCAGGGGTCTGTGCTAATTGGAGGGATCGAGTCCTGGGTGCAGGGGTCAAGAAGGACAATAACAAGAGCAGCACTCGCTTGTTTTCCTTGATAACAACACAAAGCTGCTGTTTCCCACAGTATTTCTCTGGCTTCAAGCTCCTTTTCAAACAGGGAGGGACCGTGCCAAAGCTTTTTGGATGTTCAAGGAAATTACATCTCACTCCTCTACTGCACCATTCTTTGGTTGTCTTTAAAGTCCCCCAGGAGCAGGAGACTCACCAGCATGGGAATCATCTCTTGTCATTGGAACTTTTTCAACTGCTTTTGTTTATAACTTACTGTTTAATTTCCCCCCCCCATTCTCTGGCATGGGTTTTCCAGGCTCTCTCCAGCCTTTTATAAAGACATATCTAATAATTTATCTTCTCATTCTAGTTTGGAATTTGTCTATGAGGCAAACAGCTGCCTTGAGGTTTTTTTTGGAGCTCCGACAGAAATGCCATCATATCATTTCTCTGACTTCTGGCACTTCCTCTTTGGGATCTCCAGTGGAGAAGACGACTACTGGAAGTTTCCACAACAAGCTTGCTGACTTGCACAGGTCTTTTCTCCTTTCAAAAGACCTCCTCCAAACAACCTACTTGTTCTCCAGGTTACATCTTGGCTCTTTTCTCTCCCTCTTGATGATTGCAGGAGCTAGGTAGGAGTTGAGGGTGTTGCTTTTAAAATCTATCAGATCTTTGGCTTTGAGGTGGGGCAGCACTTGAGAGCAGTACCTGGTTTTCTGGAAGCTGCCAGCAGGAAAAGAAGAGGGAATATGGAAGAGGGAATATCTTTCCCCTGTTCCCTGCTCATCAATCTCACCAAGAAGACCAGCAGGTCATCAGACCTAAGATGAGAGAAATTAAAGTGCAGAAATTAAGATCAAAGGTGCTTTGAAGCCACGAAACAGTCCTTACAGAAAGTCTCTGTAGCACTGTCTCCGGTGGTGTGACCTCCAGGTCTTGTACCTTGGCTCTGCTTGAGCAACTCCTGTGCTGTTAGAGATGTGGTAACTGCGTGTCCTGGTGTGTGTCTGGGCCAGAGCTGG